GGAATCTGTAAAGTTTTCTCTTATGAATACTTTAATTCCAAGTTAGCCCTTATAATTTTAAAAGTTAAAATTCAACCCTTCTACTTTATAATATTATAAGTTAATAATATATATATGTATAAGAGTAAAGTCAGTCTTACCGCTAGTACGCCTCATTCACGAAGCCGGTCTATAAGGTGGGTATAAGGTTGTTGCCTATAAAATGGCAACTTAATGGGTGTCCACTCTCACCCACCGCTTGCTTGACCGGTGGAGGGTCGTTAGCCGAACGGGTTTGACAGGACTATAATTCTCCCTTCATTAAAAGTATTAATGATAAATACTAAGTAACTAAACTGTTAATAATACCCAATCTTAGTTACTTAGGAAAATGTGAATAAGGTGCTAATACATGAAATTACACTTTACACTTTGTCTATGTCGTTAGTGGAGCGTGTGTGGTTAACCAGCACACTAACTTGGACTTAACAAGGTAGGTAAAGGGTGACTTAATGTTTATCATAGTATCGATGGAGCGTGTGTGGTTAACCGGCACATCGATTAAGGGGTAAACACTTAAGGGTACCAAGTAATTTGCATGGTTACTTCACACCTTGTTTTGTGATCCTCGGCATCCCAGTCACAAAACCTGAAGGGCACACTCGAGATTGAAACATGCCATTGAATAGTTCAATGAATCTCAAAGATCTAGAAGTTTCAAATCCAATTAAAACCTAATAATACATTTCGTTTATCTTGGTGGAAATTGGTGAATCGTCATTCACCTACCTTCAAATTGTTTTATAGCTTGGATTACGGCATACCTTTTCTAAGTTATAAAATAGTTTGTTGGATCCTAGCCTTAATATTTCATATTGGGTGTCATATTAAGGACCTTAAGATCAACTATCTTGAATATCTCCCAAAACATGTCTGGTTTAGACATTTATGATCTTCCCAAATCTCTTGAAACAAGCTTTCCTAAATGAAGATGATGTTCCATGGAAATCATACTTCTTTCACCTCCTCCAATTATTCTCCCTACCCCACAAGTTCTTGAAAAGTTTAAGGTCACTCGAGCCCTATTGGCAAGTAAAGGTCTAGGTGTGGTCACATCCTGGAGATGTAGTCACATATTGACAAGTCGGGAGAGTTGGGTGTCAAAGTCTTGAGAAAGTTGGTGGTTCAACTACTTTCTAAGTTACATAGTGAGTTCTTTTGGAACACCTATGAAACAGACTATGACAAGACCCTTAATGATCTTATCTATTTGCTAAGATCAACTTCCTGAAACTTTATGGACATTGACAATGGTGACACTGGAAATATAGAAAAAGCATTCTCTTCCCAAGGAAAGGGATTCACCATAGTCAACTAGGTTGACCAAATGGTAAAGAGAAAAACTAAGTCGGTAATAGTCCCGTGTACCATTATCAAAGGGTCCATATGTTTATATTGCCAAAGGAAGGGTCATTAGTTGTGAAGCTGCCAAATTAACCTAAGGATGTTAAAATCAATAAGTTTGACTCTACTTCAAGTAAAGTCCACTATCTAACTCTACTAAGTTTCTATTCTGAGAGTCTTATTACATGATGTGACTGGGTTACATGTTGATGTTTTAAGAATCAAAGAAAAGTAAAGGAACTTAAAGAAAGAATATGCTGAATCTGATCGCATAGATGGATTTCTATCGCGTAGTTTGAAAATCGGATTCTTGAGCTACTTCTTAGGAGTTATGAGATATTGCTTAGGAATAGATAACAACAAGTTTTCATATGGATTGTAAGGATAAGTTTTTCCACATTGTTTTAAAATAAAAGAAAATTCTTGATTTTAGTTATTTTAAAATATCCTTACAATGGCATTTGAGGAAAAATTGTTGCTTATATGATTCCATTAATAGCAAGAGTGGAAATATGAAATTGATTCTTTCATTTGTGGTAATGTCTAAATTTACCAAATAAGGAAAGATTCTCATCACCCAAGTCTCAATTGGACCGGAACTTGGAATCATGCAAGTTGTATAGCATGATGAATGAGAACCTTCAAGTATTGGAAAATTAAGACTAATTACTTGTTCACATGGATGTGTGAGTAATGTGAAGGACTAAGGGATTGAGTACACATTCTTGTGCACTGGGCAAGTCCACCACAAAAGATCGATAAGACTATTCGTTATAGTTTACTAAAGCTTAGTAAATATGGTTATACTTACAAGCTTAAGTGTAACTCTGAGACATTGGAATAGGTTCCAATGTAAGGCAGAGCGAATAAGAAGAATCAAATTAGGCAGAAGGATAAAAGTTTCACAAATATGGAAAGATGGGAGAGTACTTTAGTATCAGTTTTGTGATCATCTTAATGATTAAGAAACCATATCAAAATTTGTTCTCTAAGGAATTCTTAGTGCATTCTTATGACTAAGAAGAAGGGATCTTGAATTGTTGAAATGGTTAAATCAAGATAGATGAGTCATACTTCGTTCCAATACAAGTCTTAGAGTAATACTCCAAGATTGTAATTTGAGTGACATGTCTTAAAGAAGGTTTAAAACACTTGTCAAATGTAAGAGTAAAAGTTTTCTACTCTTGTACATTTGAAATTGGTAAGTTGTGATGTTTTGGATAAAACAAAGACCAACTTCGGCCAATTATGTGAAGTGTTTGTCTTGATTAGAATCCACACTATCTCTTGGATGTTTGACAAGGAAGTCTTATAGGTCAAGAGGACAGTGGGAGTCTTAAAGGTCTTGAAAGTCTTAAGAACTAATCAAGAATAAAACCTAAAGTTCTTCACTAGCACATGACTTGAGGTTTATAACCTATCGTGTTGACATAGTCTGTGCCCATTCCAGTTAAAGTTGAGTTCTTAGAGTTCTCAATTGGTTGCACAACAACTTGGAAGCAATGGTAGGCCCTTGAGCTGCCAGGTGGCAAGAAGTTAAGATTGAGTTCAGTCCATATGAGTTTGGATTTGTCATTATCCTTGTCTTGTGACTATGGTTTTGACAATTCACATGGATAAGAACACATACACCATTAAATCTAAGTGTCATAAGGTTTCTCTCCGATTCATGAAAATGATGGTGAGGAAACACTTTCACTAAGTAGATTTTAGCTAGATAGCAATTGTGATATTTGTATTCTCAAAGTCGTTAGTGGAGAGTGTGTGGTTTACCGGCACACTAACCTGGACTTGTGAGAAGTGACAAAAAGGTCTAACCATTATGATTATGGCAACCCTCTTCATAATTTTTTAGACACACAAATGTGCTATCTAAGGGAAGGTGTATGATTTTGATAAAGTTCACTACTAGAAAAACAGCCTTTTACGACGCTCATTGCGCGTCGTAAAAGGCTCAGACGACGCGCAAATGCGCGTCAAGGAAGGCCCTATCATAAAGAGAGACGACACGCTTTTGCGCGTCGTCTATAGACGACGCGCATATACAACGTGCAATTACGACGCGCGTTTACGACACGCAATGCGTATCAAGGAAGGCCCTGTCATAAAGGAAGACGACACGCATTCGCGTGTCGTGACCTTACGACGCGCGTGTTAATGACATGCAATGTGTATCAAGAAAGCCCCTGTCAAGAAAGGCCATGTCATAAATGAAGGTGACACACATTTTTGCGTATCGTAATTTTAAATTTTTTTTAAAAAAAAATTTATTTATAGATTTACTTATTTTCATATTAAATTTGCATTTCATGTCACATAATGGAAAATAAAATACCATTTACAAATAATACAATGCACTAAACAAAAGTTAATGTTATACAAATAATCATTCCAATAGTAGATAAATGTAATAATACAAATAATCATTCCAATATTGGACAAATGTAACATTTCAACATTTTTTTTATATAATTAACTAAATTATTAGCCAAATTTCCTAAAATACCAACATACTTTTCTATGAAGAGCATTAACACTATTCTTTTCCATCAAAAACTTCAAAACCTGCATAATTATTTTAATGTTTAATCAGCTACAGGTCAATAAGGTAGGTTTAAGCAAAAGAGTTTCACAGTAGTAAGATTTTACTTACCACTATTGTTAATGATATTGAAAGAAGCAGCCCAACAAACAACCCCTCAGAAGGATTATTACTAAATGAAACCAAAAACAAAGTTAAAAAGTGAAGTATTTTGTGACAACCCCGGAACGAGGGGCAAGGCTGTTTTTACCCATGGTTTGACCTAATACATGATAATAAATACTTGTTTAACAAAAAGAAAAATGACTTCTCACGTGAGATCACTATCAAGAATTGATGAAAGAGGGTACTCCACACTGTATTGCCAACAAGCTTGACACCAACACCTAAAAGCTGGAAAAAACAATAACATAAATAAAAATAAATGTAAGATTTGAGATAACAGATGCATGTGTATTAAAAACAGACACTTTTATTAACTTTTTTGGGATAAATAATGGAGTAATAAAGATTTGAAATTTAAATATGAACATACTGGCCATAGGCTATCTTTGTCAAGCTTGGAAGCTCCATCTTCGGCTTGGTTGAAGTAAAACCTAGTCCGATTAATCTTCCCTTTCATGAATTATCTCTAGTTATCAGTCACTCTTCTTGAGTAAACATCGTCATCACATAGCCCATATTGGGCTAGCTCATCTTGAGGAAGATACACTTAAGCTACTACTACTACTTCTCTACAAACCCCTGTTTCTGGGAAAGCATCAAAACCACCAAAAAAAAAATCCTAGAATTGGAAAGTGCAATAAGGTAGGATCCAATGCTGGTGAGCTTCACAAAAAAGTCTTTTTCTTTCGACTCAAATTAAAAAAATATTGTGATGAGTTTTTGTTGCAAACTGAATTATGCAGATTCTCCATCAGGACATAATCTTACCCTCGTTGCCCCTGTCGATATGATAGCTCTTTAGGTAACATATAAATAACTGCACCGACCTTTTCCTCTCTCTCTCTCTCTAGGTAACACATAAATAACTGCTTAATCATGTTCCCAGTGACCCGGAATGTGATCACTGGAGTCCTTTTGGGTGCTGTTATCTGTGCTGCAAGAACATGAGTCTGAGAAGAACCCCGAGTTGTCACTGGAGGAGGAAGATTCCTACTCCAGACTCCGGTATCGGTAACCAAGATAAGAAGTCGGCTGGTAATTGCAAGCCTGCCAAGGTTCAGTGGAGTGAACGAATGTTTTGTGTTTTTGTGCATCTTGATGCTGGATTATTGAGCTGCGTATTGATTGTGGGGTCCGTGGGGAGCATCTAAAAAACAAAGCAAACAAAAAAAAATGAAATTGCTTGACTAATAACATAAAATAAAATAAAAAAAAGATAAAAATACCTTGCATAAAAGAGCATGTATGCGCCTTTTGTTAATACATGTTGAAGATCCGCCTCGTTCACCTACATTGACATGATATAACTCATATAAGCATAAGCATAAGCATAAGAAATGAAAGGTGGTATTTTAGAAGAAAAAAAATGGTGAATACATACCATGGTGTCGTTAAATTTGAACCATTGATTGTGATGATTCTTAACATAGCAAACATAATGACCAGAAAAGGCATCATTCATTGTATCTACATGAACCACCACCCCATAAAGCCTGTAAACTGGCGACTTATCACTTGACCCACTAACATATGGAGCCATGTCTAAAATCTCTGGGAACTCAACCGATTTGTTCAGCTTCCCAAATTTAACACACTGTAATACAATCAAATTCAGTAACATAATAAGACTTGCACAAATATCTTTTGGTAAAAAAATATTACATGAAATCTCTTCAATGAAATAGTAAGCACATTAGGAGCCTCCAATAACATCAGTTTCTTTCTGACTTTCTCATAGGATTTGCACCTTAAGAGCAAATTAATTAATACACTATATAACAGTGACAAGGATGTGATCAAGAAAAGATAGGTGAATTAACAGCAAAACCAACATGCTGCATTTGTAGTTGTTTTGGGGAGGAGTTAAAAAACAGAGAAAGTAAGTCGGCTTCCCGACCTACTGGACGGGTGGGTTTCTAGTCTTGCTGATGTTATTATTATTATATAATCATGTGTTAAAAAGATACTTGTCTTGTGATCTTTTCGACATTTTAAGAAAACTGGTTGGACTTGGGTTTTTATATTAATATCATGGGTCAAGAACATCTGAAACAAATGATTGTGGATTTGTTGGGCAAGGCCTTTTAATCCGGATTCTAGTGAGCCAACTATATGCATGAAAGTGTTTGTATTAAGGTTCAACATGTAAACAATATGGCTATTGAATAGAACCTCCAAAAATGCATAATATACCTTTGTAAGCTACAAAACACACACAAAACAAGAACTAGCTCAAAAAAAACATTAGATAAATTTGTTTCATCCTACAATAAAGGCTTAAGCTACAAAACATAACATTTAAAGTTGGAAACTAAAACCCTTACATCAAAAATTAAACAGAAACTACAATCATCTGTCCTAAATTTGTTTCATCCTACAAAAAAGGATTAAGGAAAAGGTTAAGAGTTTCTTTTTACAAGCAAATATAGATTTGAGCAACAAACAACATGGCTACCCCGAGCCAGATCCAGATCTAGGCATGAGAGACATGGCTCGTCTAAAATCCAATGACTTGAGTGACCTAGGGAAGTTTTTCCCTTGTGGTAGGATACTACAATAAAATACATGACTATTTCTTGCATTCAACTATTAATTGAGGACATTTGCTTTTATTGTTTGTCAAAGAGATTTATTTAGGACCCTTTAAGGAACATAAAAAACTAGAGTTAATGTAATATTATTACTTGCAAACTCCTCATGAAAACAGGCGTCAAATCCTATAAAAAACAAACAAAAAAGCATGTGAAATGGAACAAATCATACTGCTATTTAGCTTTGATATCCTTGTTAAAGTCAATGGTTGGCTCACAGTCAAGAACCAAAGCAGGTACCTGTTGATAGTCAATATGCAAGCAACCCCATCATCAATCAAACTAGCATCAAAAGCTCTCATAACTATGGTGTTGTTTCTTTTCAGCATAACAAAATGAGTTGTTCCTTTTGTTACTTAAATAAGAATCGACTTAATAGAAAAACTCATGGAATGGAATGGAAAAGGCCTAAACACTAGATGTGAAAGTGAAAGTGAAGATACCTTTTTCAATGCTTGAATGCGTATGATTACCCTCCAAATGAATTTATCTGCATCAGCAGGATCTGCATGATAGAATCCGTAAGTTCCCTATAATGGCTGAAATAACTCCTCGATATCTATAGAACTTCAAGTCCAGGAACAAACAGTAGAAACCATGTCTCCACAATTCTTGAAGTATTGTCAATTTCTAGGTTAACCAAAGTAGAAAATCCAAGAAATTTTTCAAGAAACGTATACATGTACTCAGGTTAATAAGACACGAGAGTTGATGGGTTTTGGTCATAAGACATCCTATGTGCTCATACAAACCCTAATGCTTGGATCTAGGTTTCTCTATTGTACATGCTTTGAATCCAAGACTATAAACCCTAATTCTAGCATACATATAATCATATTAACATGATAATAAGTTTATAGTGTTACCTTGATTGTTATGTAGCAATAACAATCCCAAATCTCCTTATATTGACTTTAGAAGGCTTAGAGTCACAAGTGTCACTCCTCTAATGGCTCACAAACACCTTAAGCAAGTGGAGAAGGTATATAGAGAGAGGTGAGAGGTTAGAATTCGTATCTAGGACCTCTTGGGAAGGGATCCACGAATTCATGACCCTAGGGGTGTTTATATAGGTGTAGAGATAGGGTTTCAGTCATTATCCTTATCTAGTTGATTATCCATTAAGCAACCAATAAGATAATCCTTGAATCCTTATCATACTCGAATTCTAAGGCTTTCCAACCTTAAATTCGTCCACCATATAAATAAGACAATCCTTACCTTATTTTGTAACTATCACATAATTACAAATCAGCCCCTCTAGTTTAATTAATTACATTTGATCACAAAACTAATTCTTAATTAATTATTGACCAATATTAATTAAACAAATATGATTTCTCCTTTAATATATTATTCTTATAACATATTAATAAATCATATTATCCTTTCTCTCTTTATTCATTTCTCCAATCAAGTTGCTTTGGTGAAGGCAACCCAAAAGGACCATGCACCATCGGGTCAAGTACATACCAAAATAGTTATGGACTTAGACACTAATCCAACAGTCTCCCACTTGGATAAGTCTAACAACTATTCTGCGTATGACTTCAGATCCTGATCTGCAATCGTAGCTTTCCAAAGCCGCTGTCAACTCTGATCATATCAGATACGCGTGTCCTTAGATAAGGGATCATATATTCCTCCATTCTAGATATCGTATGAGATATGATTTCAAATCATTCTCTTTGTACTATATCTCGATTTCCGATTTATGACGACAGACTAATTGAACAAATCAAATTAGCCCTAGCCCGGCCGAGCATTTACGTATGTCATCACTAAACCATCGAGGGGCCCAAAGATATCGCTTTTATCCTACTTTGGATAAAAGGAACGGATAAACTTTGATACAATGCTTGCTTGCACTCACTAACCAAATCACACACAACAATATGTTTTATAACACCAAGTTACTAGTGCGTTTACATATTATCAATGTGCAACCGATTCGCAAGATACAACTCACACATCTCGGTTTCAAGAATATAAGATGTTATCGTCTCACCAATCACTCGTAATACAATTCATGGAGTGATCCAAGTGAGCGTGGGTTTAATCCAATGCTCAAATCATATTCATAAGCACTCATGAACGTTGCAGCAAACATTTGCTTATGTCTAATACTCTTCTAGACAATCCACACACCAATTCACGACAGTCTTCATTCATATCTACTTCCAACATATGAACGACTGTGGCCCGTTTGAATAATTCGATTATTCTTAATAAACTCAATTATTCTGGAAGTCAAAACATGCAAGGTGAAACACAAGAATAATACTAATCCCATATGGCCTCAAACCTTTGAGTATAAACAAAACACGTTTTATTTATCACCATATCGATTACTCATTATTTGTCGTTTCGGGTAATCAACTTCGCATTTGAATTCCAACACTTGTCCCATGCTCCTAGCATGCACACAATGTTTACCTATGGTTCTTACTTTTGTGAAATAGACAAATTGAACACATTTCCAATCATTCTCATTTTACAACTCCAAATCCATTTTCTTAAGTGTAAGAATATCAAATTCTTGTTACTTATAGAATATACTAGATTCTAACACTTTATGCAACGATCCTTTCGTAATGTCACTGCACCAAAGTCACAAAGACTATTGCCAATGATATTACAAAGTCCTCTATCGGAGATTGTTACAAGACAATTCCTTAGATATGATGTCTCTCTCTCAAAGTACATTCCTTTGAACATCCTTTTGCATAAAAGTTTCTAATCTAGACATAGATTTTCAATATTTACTTCCCAACATGGACACACTTCCATATTTTCCATATGACAACTCATTCTTAATAGAATCTTATCTATTCGTAATGATGTCGATATTGTCCATCCAATATGGAAACACTTCCATAATTTCCAATACTATACTTCCAACTACTCACAAGCGACCAATCCTCGTCGAACTTTGGATTGTCCTTTGATAGTTGTTTAATTATTTTAGTCAAAACCAATTCTAGTCCCTTTTCCCTCTAAATGCACTAGACATTTGGAAAATTTTAGAATGGTCAAACATTAAAGCATTTGCAATCGATCCTATACCGAAGCGTAAGGGACATGATGCACAATGTTTTATTTGCTATGTTCTCAAAATTCGAATTGCGAAGAGGAATGCCGTAATCACAATCGAAATTTTAAGAACACACTATGTACCTTTGACTAAATTTATCAACATTTCGCAACCTAATCCTTTAGATTTGAAATGAAGCATAATATTCTCTCCCTTAATTATAGCAAAACAACCTTTCAACTCTTACAACTTTGCAAAGTATGACTCTTGTTTTCTATAATTAATATTGCCAACTATGCAATACGTGCCTTAATAATCATACAATCATAACATTTATGCTCCCACTATCATGATGATTATTATAAAACATAACACTTATGCTCCCACTAGCTTCGACATGTATTCATAAACATCTTAACTTTCAGAAAAACAATACTTATTGAATTTCTTAAGTTCATGTTTCTAATACTTAGTGCTTTGATAATCTTTTATCAAGGCTTCTTGAACTTATACACTTTTGCCTTAGATAGTTCATATGTGTGTCTTAACAATTAAGACTAATTGCCAAACCTCACAATTCAAATTATGGAAAGGGATGCCGTAACCATGATCGAATTTGAGAATGCAATTTTACAATCACTATCTTTTAAAATCTTTCTTAGTGAAAGCATTTTCTCACAATCATTTTCATGAAGGAGGAAATCTTATGACACTTAGATTTAAACGGTGTATGTGTTCCTATCCATGCGAATTTGTTAAAACCAAAGTTTACGACAAATTCAAACTCATATGGATCGAACTTTCTTAATCTTGATTTCTTGCCTTATGGTAGCACAGCTGCCCACCACGTCTTCCAAGTAGTTAAGCATCTTACCTTTTTCCTATCAATGTACCTTTCATTGATCAAGGTCCTTGCGTTTTACGCATTCAAATGAGAACTCATAGGACTCACATGCATAATTAACTCGATTGGATTGGCACAGAAACAAAATAATGTCTTCACGATAGGTTGTAAACCTCAACTCGTGTGCTAGTGATGATCGATAAGGTTTATTTGATTTGTTCTTGAAACTTTTCGAGACCATTAAGACTCCCACTGACTCCTTGACATATAAGATTCTTTTGTCAATAAACATTTCTTGACAAACAAATTTTCAAGAGTTAGTGTAGCTTGTATCAAAACACTTCATAAATTGGTCATAGTTGGTCTTTGTCTTATCCAAGACATCACAACTTTCCACATTTGATGAATGTTATAAACCTTTAATACTTTTTACTCATTGTCACAATCTTGACTTTAAGACTTGTTTTGGAACAAAGTATGATTGTCTTCTTGATTTGACCATTTCATCAATCTTTGATTCCTCTTCTTGGACATACAATTGTACCAAGACTCACTTAGAGGATCAATTGAGATATGGTTCTTAATCATTAAGACCTATCATAAAGCATAAAAGCCACTCTCCCTTCTTCTTAGAATGGAGAAACTCTTATCTTTCTGCCTATTTGATTCTTCTTATTCGTTTTGCTATTGATCTAAACCCTTTAATCAATTCAAAATTACACTTAATCTTGTAAGTATAATCATATTTACTAAACCTTTAGTAAATGATGACGAATATCTTTGTTACTCTTATGGTGAACTTGATCAACACACAACTTTGTGTGCTCGATCTCCTAGTCCTTCACTTGACACTTTGTCAATGAATTAGTCTAATTTCCAAATATGAAATTTTTTCATTCATCATGCAACCAAGTTGCATGATTCCAAGTTTCTGTCCAATTGAAACTTGGGCGATGAGAAACTCTCCCTATTTGGTAAATTCTTGACTTTCCATAACACAATAAGAAACAAATCCATTATTGCATCAATTTTTTTATACACCCATTGTAAGGATAAATAAATAAAATTTAAAATCAAGATTTATTTTATTGCGGAAAAATTTTGTCCTTCACGATGCAACTCATTGAAAAAAATTATGCGAATACATCTTTCTTAGCAATCTAATTCTAACTCTAAGTAGTAGCTCAAGAATCTAATCTTCGAGAAACGCAATCCATTCCTTCACGGTTAGATTCTACTCACTTCTTCCCTTAAGCTTCTCTTTTTTTTTCTTTGATCCTTCTAAACATCAATTGTAATCTTATCACATTATGTATTCAGAATCTAGAATGAAGCTTAAATGAGTTAGTCAATGGATTTTACCTAAATTAGAGCCATACGTTTCGACTCTCCCATCTCTTAGATCTCTTAGGTAAATAGGGCAGCTTCGTCTCCAATGCCCTTTCTCTTGG